GCAAGTCCAGAGTCAAGACAGGCAAGTCCAGAGTCAAAACAGGCAAGTCCAGAGTCAAGACAGACAAGTCCAGAGTCAAGACAGGCAAGTCCAGAGTCAAAACAGGCAAGTCCAGAGTCAAAACAGGCAAGTCCAGAGTCAAAACAGGCAAGTCCAGAGTCAAGACAGACAAGTCCAGAGTCAAGACAGACAAGTCCAGAGTCAAGACAGGCAAGTCCAGAGTCAAAACAGGCAAGTCCAGAGTCAAGACAGGCAAGTCCAGAGTCAAGACAGACAAGTCCAGAGTCAAGACAGACAAGTCCAGAGTCAAGACAGGCAAGTCCAGAGTCAAGACAGACAAGTCCAGAGTCAAGACAGACAAGTCCAGAGTCAAAACAGACAAGTCCAGAGTCAAGACAGGCAAGTCCAGAGTCAAAACAGACAAGTCCAGAGTCAAGACAGGCAAGTCCAGAGTCAAAACAGACAAGTCCAGAGTCAAGACAGACAAGTCCAGAGTCAAGACAGACAAGTCCAGAGTCAAAACAGGCAAGTCCAGAGTCAAGACAGACAAGTCCAGAGTCAAGACAGACAAGTCCAGAGTCAAAACAGACAAGTCCAGAGTCAAGACAGGCAAGTCCAGAGTCAAAACAGACAAGTCCAGAGTCAAGACAGGCAAGTCCAGAGTCAAGACAGGCAAGTCCAGAGTCAAGACAGGCAAGTCCAGAGTCAAGACAGACAAGTCCAGAGTCAAGACAGACAAGTCCAGAGTCAAGACAGGCAAGTCCAGAGTCAAGACAGGCAAGTCCAGAGTCAAGACAGGCAAGTCCAGAGTCAAGACAGACAAGTCCAGAGTCAAGACAGGCAAGTCCAGAGTCAAGACAGGCAAGTCCAGAGTCAAGACAGGCAAGTCCAGAGTCAAAACAGACAAGTCCAGAGTCAAGACAGGCAAGTCCAGAGTCAAGACAGGCAAGTCCAGAGTCAAGACAGGCAAGTCCAGAGTCAAGACAGGCAAGTCCAGAGTCAAGACAGACAAGTCCAGAGTCAAGACAGACAAGTCCAGAGTCAAAACAGGCAAGTCCAGAGTCAAGACAGGCAAGTCCAGAGTCAAGACAGGCAAGTCCAGAGTCAAGACAGGCAAGTCCAGAGTCAAGACAGGCAAGTCCAGAGTCAAAACAGACAAGTCCAGAGTCAAGACAGGCAAGTCCAGAGTCAAGACAGACAAGTCCAGAGTCAAGACAGACAAGTCCAGAGTCAAGACAGGCAAGTCCAGAGTCAAGACAGGCAAGTCCAGAGTCAAGACAGGCAAGTCCAGAGTCAAGACAGGCAAGTCCAGAGTCAAGACAGGCAAGTCCAGAGTCAAGACAGACAAGTCCAGAGTCAAGACAGGCAAGTCCAGAGTCAAGACAGGCAAGTCCCGAGTCGAGTCCCAGGTCAAAGGCCAACAAGTATCAAATCATAAGTTCTACGGATGGACTTTCGAGTCGAATCTTTGTTCTGTGGAAGAGTTTCAGTTTGAATTTGAAAGAAAGTTATTGTTGCCCTGTTTATATGAGAGTCTGCATCTTGTTTCCAGGTTGTGGGTCCAACTCCTTATCTCATTTCTTTTCATTTATGTATTTATTAAGTTGGAACAGTAAACATTAATCCACATTGATGCCTTAAGCGTCAGTGTAAATGCGCTAGCCCTAGTCCCAAGGAAACAGACAAAAGAATTTACAAAACAAATACAAAACAGACACAGACGGACAAAACAAGGCAAAGCAGACACAGAGAAAAATAAACCATAATAATAATAATATCTGTACAGAAGGATTTAGATCAGCAGTCTTTTGCCTATTTTCAGTCTTCTCTACTTACCTCACTCCTCCATTACCCATTACATAATCTTTGTTATTTCTCCTACTTTATTGTGTGTTTAAAAATGGCCGCCAGAGTGTAAACAGGAGCCAAAGGTCATATGGATGTATGGAGGCCCTAGAGGCTCAAACTCAAAGCTCTCTCTCTCTCTAATGAGGGTTCAACGTCACCCGTCTCTGCAGCCTCTGGCCCTGGCGGTGTGCTCATGGAAATATAGGCCAGATAGAATAGAACCCATTCAGATTCATGTAAAGGCTCACGTCAGCGAAGAGTAAACCGATTGTATTTACTAAGAAGAGACTGTGTGTGACTTTCCATTATGTTTGTGTAATAATGTGACCCGTGGCCTTCATCAGACATATTAGTCGTATGTACAGTATGTAGTATCAATACTGCGCAGCGCTGAGTGGCAGCAACACACGGAAAAGTGGGTTGAGAATTGATTTATTTCATATTTAAGGATCAATACATTTCATGGATAGTGAATCGTGAACTTGAACTCTTGACACGGCAAAAGATTTTTAAAACATGCTTCTTGGTGTGATTTATGACTAACGTGGGCGGCCGGGTTCATGTCTGAAGTCGGGTCCAGGTCTGGGTCCTGTCCTCTGCAGTGGTCAGGAGCATAGACTGTAAATATTAGCGTACGCAGTCACGCCTATCTCCGCCAGTCTAACTATTGTGCCACTATATGAAATTGTGAAAAACCGCATCCATTCATTTAAATGAGTGACTTCTAAACACCACAGCGACTAAACTAGACTGGTCCAGAACACTCCCTCAGCATTGACACACATGTGGAACGGAGCTTTGGGCCAAGAGCCACTTTTGGACCATCCTGTAAAGACGTTTTCCAGATGTAAGCTAATGCTACAGTAAGGCCCTGTTTATACTGAGACGCTGCGCAGACGTTTCCAGGCTATTAACAGAAACAACCTGGCTCCTAATGCAAATTTCTCTGCGTTCACATGAGGTTGAAAAACGATGTAGTTCTAGCGCCCGGCCAGTAGGGGGCAGAGAAACTTTACAACACTCACACGACCCCCAGCCCCGTGCCCAGCCTCCCTCTCTGCAGTATATTCACTTCCTGTGACAGACCCTCAGAACTCACCAACATCATTCTGCATTTTAACAACAGCTGTGAAAATGGAAACTGAACCTACAGTAGAGCTTCGCGTGGTCTCGTTTGGACGAACGAAGGAGTAGAATTATCCTCTGTGCCGCGCTGGAAGCCCACGAAGCTAGTTAGTGTGCGCGCCGCCATTGTTGTTGATGTTGGTTCTCCGCTACTGCACATGTCCAAATGTACGTGCGGGGAGCAGCAGGAGGTGGGGGTCAGAGCAGCAGGAGGTGGGGGTCAGAGCAGCAGGAGGTGGGGGTCAGAGCAGCAGGAGGTGGGGGTCAGAGCAGAGGGGGATTTCACACCTTTTCCCTCTCGCGGGTGTGAAAGAGCCCCCGCTGTGCAGAGGATCTGAGCTGTCCCACTCTGCAGGCTGGATCTGAACACTTACGTTTTCACCTGGAACACAGTCTTCGTATGAACGGTAGCAACCGACATCCAACTATACCGTTTTACTGCCACATTGTCTCCGTGTAAACTCAGCCTCAGAGTGTTGTGTTGGTACAAAGCCGTATCATGAGCAGATAATGAATAGGCCCCCGCAGCACTGTCGGTACTTAACCCGATAATGACCTGCCTACTTTACATTATCCTTTTCTGAAGAACTATATATTATTAATTTTTAAACATAAAAAGCTGGAAAACCTGTAAATTTAAATTTGTTTTATTAAAATGTGCTAAATAAAACAAGTGGATGTGTTTATTACAGAGAGAGAATTGATAGTTTTAGAAAAGTCCATAAAAGATGTTTTTGAGTTGTTAGAACCCAAAGGCTGCTTTAGCAGTAATGTACAGTTTTAGTATTAATACAGTAGCAGAAGAAGTAGAACATCAAAGTGGGTCTGAACGGGACCAAAGTGGGTCAAAGTGGGTCTGAACGGGACCAAAGTGGGTCAAAGTGGGTCTGAAGGGGACCAAAGTGGGTCTGAACGGGACCAAAGTGGGTCAAAGTGGGTCTGAACAGGACCAAAGCGGGTCTGAACGGGACCAAAGTGGGTCTGAACGGGACCAAAGTGGGTCAAAGTGGGTCTGAACGGGTCCCACTTTGATGTGAGTGAATAACCTGTACCTTTCACACATAAATAGTCTGTGGCTGAAACACGGTCGTGGATCAGAAAGATCAGAACTCAGTGCAGGAAATATACAGAGTGTCATCTTTAATTATATGGCACAATTCACAGACCAAAAATACAAAGCATGGAAGGGGAAACCGGAGCACCTGGAGGAAACCTACGCAGACGTGGGACGAACATACAAACTCCACTCAGAAAAGCCTTGCTCCGATTGGGATTCGAACCTAGGACCTTCTGACTGAAAGGGAGAATGCTAACCACTCAGCCACCCTCAGCCATTTTGTCCTCATACCTGCATATCTGCTCTCCAGATCCTGTCAGACCTCTGAAGCTAAGCAGGAACGGGCTTGGTTAGTACTGTGATGGGAGACCACAGGTGCCACAGTGGGGCGGCTGCGGCTGTAAAGTCTTAAACTGTGGTTGTGTCCTTTGGCAAGACACTTCCCCCACAGTAGAATGAGTCTGGTGTGTGTGTGAATGGTTGGTGGTGGTGGGAGGGGCTGATGGCACAGACTGGTTGCCTCGCTTCTGTCAGTGTGCCCCAGGGCAGCTGTGGCTACAGTAGTTTATCACCACCGTGTTTGGAGTCTGGATAATACAGTACATTTTAACTTCTCTTGAATAAATTGCTTAAATGTTATTTTTAGACAAACATCATGTGCTCAGTCTAAGATGAAAAAACATTTCTTCACCCACTCTGTTTCTCTTTCTCTCTATTTTTTGTTGTTGAAGGAAAATAAGAATTATACCGTTTTATCAGTTCAACATAAATAAACATACAACTCTTAGCTTCAGCATTGTACTCTTCCTCCTGCTTTTAGATATTTAGTTTTGTGTCTGAATGTGTGTGTCCTGAACCGTGAAGCATCTGTGAGTTCTTGAAAAGCACTGTATAAAACCAATGTATTATTATTATTATTATTATTATTATTATCATTATCATTATATGTCTGTGGTGCAGGTATGGAGAC